AGTGAGGAAAATAAGTATTTGAACACCCTGCTATTTTGCAAGTTCTCCTATAGAAATCATGGAGGGGTCTGAAATTGTCATCGTAGGTGCATGTCCACTGTGAGAGACATAATCTAAAAAAAAAATCCAGAAATCCAATGTATGATTTTTTAACTATTTATTTGTATGATACAGCTGCAATAAGTATTTGAACACCTGTCTATCAGCTAGAATTCTGACTCTCAAAGACCTGTTAGTCTGCCTTCAAAATGTCCACCTCCACTCCATTATTATCCTAAATTAGATGCACCTGTTTGAGGTCGTTAGCTGCATAAAGACACCTGTCCACCCCATACAATCAGTAAGAATCCAACTACTAACATGGCCAAGACCAAAGAGCTGTCCAAAACACTAGAGACAAAATTGTACCCTCCACAAGGCTGGAAAGGCTACGGGGAAATTGCCAAGCAGCTTGGTGAAAAAAGGTCCACTGTTGGAGCAATCATTAGAAAATGGAAGAAGCTAAACATGACTGTCAATCTCCCTCGGACCGGGGCTCCATGCAAGATCTCACCTCGTGGGGTCTCAATGATCCTAAGAAGGTGAGAAATCAGCCCAGAACTACACGGGAGGAGCTGGTCAATGACCTGAAAAAGCCGGGACCACCGTTTCCAAGGTTACTGTTGGTAATACACTAAGACGTCATGGTTTGAAATCACGCATGGCACGGAAGGTTCCCCTGCTTAAACCAGCACATGTCAAGGCCGTCTTCAGTTTGCCAATGACCATTTGGATGATCCAGCGGAGTCATGGGAGAAAGTCATGTGGTCAGATGAGACCAAAATAGAACTTTTTGGTCATAATTCCACTAACCGTGTTTGGAGGAAGAAGAATGATGAGTACCATCCCAAGAACACCATCCCTACTGTGAAGCATGGGGGTGGTAGCATCATGCTTTGGGGTGTTTTTCTGTACATGGGACAGGGCGACTGCACTGTATTAAGGAGAGGAGACCGGGCCATGATTGCCGAGTTGGGGAACAACCTCCTTCCCTCAGTTAGAGCATTGAAGATGGGTTGAGGCTGGGTCTTCCAACATGACAAGACCTAAGCACACAGCCAGGATAACCAAGGAGTGGCTCTGTAAGAAGCATATCAAGGTTCTTCCAGACCTAAACCCAATAGAGAATCTTTGGAGGGAGCTCAAACTCCGTGTTTCTCAGCGACAGCCCGAAACCTGACTGATCTAGAGAAGATCTGTGTGGAGGAGTGGGCCAAAATCCCTCCTGCAGTGCAAACCTGCTGAAAAACTACAGGAAACATTTGACCTCTGTACTGTCTGTACCAAATATTAACATTGATTTTCTCAGGTGTTCAAATACTTATTTGCAGCTGTATCATACAAATAAATAGTTAAAAAATCATACATTGTGATTTCTGGATTTTTTTTTTTTTAGATTATGTCTCTCACAGTGGACATGCACCTACGATGACAATTTCAGACCCCTCCGTGATTTCTAATGGGAGAACTTGCAAAATAGCAGGGTGTTCAAATACTTATTTCCTCACTGTATAAGGTTATACGTATAAGCACAGATCATGAATCAATTGCGGTTAAGGTATGGACTAATAGAGGTAATATTGGCATAATAATTACTATAATCCTTGTGGGGAAAATAAGTCTAGATATACTAGAGGATGTAGAGGAGTATTGCAAGATAATGTGATATGGTGTGGGAATTTCAATTCACATAATTCACTATGGGGTAGCAATAAAACAGATTTAAATGTGTAGTAGCTGAAGAATTTATAGATAATCACTGTTTGGTATGTATTAATAATGGGGAAGGAACACGATACATAGTGTGCAAAACAGAGGCAGCGCTTGATTTAACACTGGTGTCTAGTGAAATAGCAGGTTTAAGCACATGGCGTGATCAAATATACCACAATAGAAGTGATCACTACCCTGTGGTAACTAAAGTTGGCATTGAAGGTTTTTATGATGAGGGAAGAAACTCCCAGATGGAATTGGGAAATGCTAACTGGGATGTTTTTCAAAAGATCAGTACAAACAGATTCAAGAAACTCAAAGAGGAGAACCAGACAGATGTAAACATAATCAACAGTACAATAGTTAATGAGATTATTCAATCTGCTGAGGAAACAATCCCTAAGAGTACAGGAACTAAACGGACCAAGAGTGTACCCTGGTGGAATGACAACTGTAGTAAAGCCATAAAGGCCAGGAATAAAGCATTTAGAGAACTCAAGAAACATCATTCTCAGGATGCATTGATCCAGTATAAAGGGGCCCAAGCAATAGTAAGGAGGACAATTAGAACACAAAAACGAACATTTTGGAGGCAGTACTGTAGCACTATTGGAAGGGAAGTACAGCTGTCAGATGTGTGGGGCATGATTAGAAGAAATTATGAGATGCCAGTGTTGAACACTGGGAATAAAATGGCTGTCAATAACTTAGAAAAGGCGGAACTTCTTGCACAAACATTTGAAAGGGTTCATAGTTCGTGTGATCTCACAGATGAGGCTAGGCAGTGAGGAGAGAAAATCGTAATGGAGAATCCCAAAATAACAGAGAAAAGGGAGGTGTCAGGAGATCCATTAGATCTACTGTTTAATATGTTTGAGCTAAGAAGAGCAATTACGAGTGCTCGTCAGACCAGTCCAGGGAAGGACGCTGTATGTTATGGAATGTTGGCACACATGACACGGTGTTGGGTTTGTTTAATAAAGTTTGGGATGTTGGCCAACTTCCTTTAGCTTGGAAACGAGCAATAATAGTGCCCATTCCAAAACCAGGAAAAGATCAGTCAGACCCCTCCAGTTATAGACCTACTGCATTAACCTCACACTTGTGCAAAATTATAGAACGAATGGTCACCGAGCGTTTAACATACTTCCTAGAGAATGAAGCTCTTCTGTACCCGTACCAGAGTGGGTTCCGTAGAGGTCCGAATACAATGGATTCAGTACTGTGCTTAGAATCGGACATCAGGAAAGCACAGACCAACAAAGAAATACTGATAGCTGTATTTTTTGACGTTGAAAAGCATATGATATGCTCTGGAAAGAAGGGTTACTTATTAAATTGAAGTCATTGGATATTGGTGGTAGAACATATAATTAGGTTATGAACTTTCTATTTGACAGGGAAATGCAAGTAAGAGTTGGCGCAGAATACTCCAGTGTATATAAGGTGGAAAATGGAACTCCACAAGGTAGCGTGTGCAGGCTATTGTTGTTCAACAAATTGATAAATGACATCTTCTCTCAGGTTGAACAAAGCGTAGGAAATCTTTGTCCGCAGATGACGGGGCTCTGTGGGTAAGAGGCCGCAATGTGTTGCACGTCAGTAAGAAAATGCAAGCTGCAATAGCTGCTGTGGAAAAATGGGCAAATAAATGGGGATTCAAGTTATCTGTTGCAAAAACACAAGTGATCTGTTTCTCAAGGCGGCATAAAGTCACGCCGATTTCCATGAAGTTATATGAACAACCGCTTGAGCAAGTCAAAACAATTAAATTTCTTGGGGTTTGGTTTGATGAGAAGCTCACCTGGAATACTCATTTAGACAAAGTTAAGTGTAAAAAGGTCATCAATATACTTCGTTGTCTGTCAGGACAAGAGTGGGGAGCAAGCAGAGCAGCTCTACAAAATATTTACTGGGCACTCCATGAGATCCGTTTTTGACTGGATGTGTAGCGTACATGTCAGCAGCAGAATCAAACCTTAAGAAGTTGGATGTATTAAAAGCTCAGGCCTTGAGAATTTGCAGTGGATCAGTCAGAACTTCTCCGGTGTCAGCATGCAGGTAGAAATGGGAGAGATGCCGTTAAGAATCAGGCGAGTAAAGTTAATGTTGGCATACTGGGTTAATCTCCAGGGGCAATGTGATTCTCATCCTGCCAAGAGTCTCTTAACAGACTGCTGGGAACACAACGAGACAAATTTCACAAGTTTTGGGTGGATTGGTGATGCAAAGGCAGAAGTCATAGGATTACGACAATTAGATTACAGCCCTACAGTGTCACAGTCTTCCATTCCTCCCTGGTTATTCCCAACACCAAGTGTAGACCTAAACATACAGCAGGAATTGAAGGATTTGTCAAAGAAACTTCCAGCATGCAGTATAGTACAGAATTACTTTGATTTACATTTTTCAGACTCCATGTTTATATTCACAGACGGCTCCAAAGATCCTGATACAGGGCGTGCAGGTGCAGCAGTCTATATCCCAGCAAGTGAGTCATATATCAAGAAAAGAATATCAGATCAGTGTATACCACAGAGTTGACTGCAATAGTACTGGCCCTGCAGTGGATAGAAGAGAGGGAAACAAATAATACTGTCATTGCATCTGATAGCTTGTCTGCTCTAATGAGTATTAAATCTGGCAAATCATCATTTAGATCCAAAATCCTCAATGACATATTCCTTATATTGTACAGGATGGAGCTAAAAGGATTATCCACATGCTTCCTTTGGGTTCCTGCTCATGTTGGTGTGGAGGGAAATGAGCAGGTGGATATTCTGGCCAAAGGAACACTCAGAATCAAACATGTAGACCTAAAAACCCCATTAACTAAAGATGAAGCTAAGACATTTCTCAGGACCTATGCACAGTCAGTTTGGCATTGGGACAATAGTGAAACTGGAAGGCACCTATATGATGTACAGAGACAGGTTGGTGCCGGAAGGACGGTGGGCTGGAAACGTAGGGAAGAAAATATAATCACTCGTCTGAGAATAGGACATACAGGTCTCAACCTTTCGTTATATAAAATAGGTAAGCACCCAACTGGGAAATGTATATATTGTAACCAACTAGAAACGGTTGAACATGTTCTCCTTCAGTGTAGGAGATACACTATCAGAGGGAACGCCTGTTTCAGTCATTACGGAAGGCAAAACATCATGATATCTCATTGACAGGTCTCTTGGGGAAAACAGCAGGCCAGATATATTGTCATATAATTAAGTTTCTTAAAGAAACTGAGTTAGGAAAAAGAATTTAATTTATGTTTGTTTTTGTTTGTTTTGTTTGTTTTTTTGTTTTGTTTATTTCATTTATTTCCTGCTTAATCTCTCGTTCCACACTCCAGTCCAGCTTGTGGCGGTAATGCACCGTTAAACTGGTTTGCCAACCGCCATTAAACCCTAAAGAAGAAGAAGAAGAAGAAGAAGAAGAAGAAACCTCTTTCTAGTTTAGTTAGCTAAGTTAACTAAGTTGTAGTTAGCTAGCATAGTTATTGCAGAAAGTTAGCTAACAGAGGGTCTTCATTTTATTTTCGTCCTCTTGGTTTAGTGTGCTGTTCATTCTCATTACGGCATCTGTGCGTGCAGTGTTGGAGGACAGATGGCAGAAAAGGTGGTATGATTGATAACAGCTGATTAGTTATCAGCTATCGCACATTAGTTTCTATCATGGTACGTAATAGTTACTCCTGCCAGACAGTGAAGTGGACTAAACTTTACAGTGTAGTGATGTTAACACAGCATGTCGTTAGTGAACACTCCAGCCCGTCATTTTTTGATTATCATGGTAATTGATTACGTCTGACTATTAACCACACCCCCATTCTCTGTTTGAGAAAGAACGTTAACCAAAAACGGCAGTTAAAACTGGCTGGAGGGGCTTTTTAACCATTAGTCAGCTAGAGTGAGACGGGCGGCTAAAGATGTGGGAAACGTTCCTTTAGGAGTCTGCAGGGCTTTCTATATAACTGGCAGGTTTCTGGAGAAGACCCGATTGGCCTCTTCACTCCTCGCTGGAAGAGTGAGAGACCACTGTAAATTCACTTTTACTTTTAATAGAATATTTGTAGGATATGGTATTTCTACTTTTACTAGTACCAGAATACTTCTTCCACCGCTGTGTGGTAACTGGTGTATTATTATATTCATACATTAACATAAGAAATGCAGCTTTCAGCTCAGAGTTCAGACAAACGGACAGAAAGAAACTGAAAGAGGAAAAGTTTAAATATTTCACACATCAGGGCCTTTAAAGGAAAAACATGTCGTCAGTAACTTTTATGATCATTATTATCAGAAACTAGATACGTTTAGCTTTAATCTTGCAATCAGTCTGCTTGTTGAACAGTAAAGATCGGATCTTTGGACCTGAGCTGCAGTTCAACTCCAGTTTTTACAGTTTCTTCAGTGAAAATCGGCTGTCGGCTCACTTTTCTTTATGTCTGCTCTGAAGATCAAAGCTGTTTGTTAATCATCTCTGAAGTGTCACTTAGAGCATGATTATCAGTACTTCAAAGCTTTATTTTCATAAAACGATGATTCAACATAGCGACAGCTAAATAAGAGAAACTTATTTTAATCCAGTGGAGTTAGAAATATGAAGGCGTGCCAAAGGGACTTAAAAACCAGGAGTGAATCCATGAACACTATTACATGCAGCCTAGCTTGTTCAGCATCGACCGGACTACAGTTTCCTTACACTTGATTCTTAAATATCTTTATTCAGCTGTAACCTGACGGAGACTAAATGCTGGGGGCAGCAACTGAAGATGAAAATCAAACAGACGTCATTTACTCATAAACCTGTGGTTTAAAGTCACAGACACAGTTATAATGATTTTGATGATATACAGTTAAAAAGGCGTCTTGGTTCAAACAGACATCTATTCCATATTAAAGAATCATACTATAGTTATATTTCACTGTGTGGAAATAGGGTTAGGGTTAGACTACTGCAGCCGATTTTCTAAATCTCACATTTAAACTATGTCCAGATCTGCAAACAACATACCTCATACCTAAACAACAAAATGAGTCAGTTTTCAAGTGTCTGGAAACGACATATGTGGACGATGGAAATCAAATGACACATTTTCCGAATCTGTCCAGCGGCTTACCGGATGTAATGTAAGTCATGTGACGTGAGTTTGGTTAGATTTAGGAAGATCATCGTTTGGATCAAAAGTAAGTAAAGTTACAGAAGTCATGTGATGGAAGTCAGAATCTAACTTAGCTTAAAACTCAAAATAACTGCACTTGGTTTCACACGGGACTCGAAAGCCGTTCTCCTGTGTGAAAGTCCGGGTTTGACCCGTCCACCACCCCATCCTCCCTCTTTACACGGACTATGTTACTATTTATAATACGTCCCTGAGTTCCTCCGTTGCTACCGTCGTGCGGCCACTAGAGGTCCCTAAAAACGCTTTAATCATGGGTCACAATAAGCTGTACAATAATCAACCTGTCCGGACGTTAGCTGGTGAGGACGGGCTGCTGCAGATGAATTCGTTCCAGATGTGTTTTGGTATCGACACACATGTACCTGTCACACGTGTTGCAGTATACAGTTTCCTCTCCTCCCCCCCAGCTGCTGCTCCTTTGAGGACTACAAACTGACCACCGAGTGGCTGCTGAACCACACGAGTCACCGTCCGAAGGTTGCAGTGATCTGTGGTTCGGGACTCGGTCTGCTGGCCGACGGAGCAGCCAACAAACAGACCTTCAGGTATCAGGACATCCCCAACTTCCCCGTCAGCACAGGTGAGTCTGCCCCGCCCACAATTTCTGAAATGATCTTTCTCTCTCTGATGTAACATCTGTCTCTCAGTCGCGGGTCATGAAGGCTGTCTGGTGTTTGGGACGATCGAGGACACTTCCTGTGTCTTCATGCAGGGTCACTTCCACCTGTACGAAGGTTACTCCCTCTGTCAGGTGAGTCCAACCCAAAAACACTAACAAGGACCACAAGTGTTCATGTCCATTTTAGCCAGTATGCTGTGGGAGCTGAATTCGACCATCTAAAGGTTGGGCGTGCTGCTCCGTGAGCTCTGTGAACTGGAAACAGCTTCATGTAGCACAGCTGCTTTCCACGAATACGTGAAGCCAAAGTATCCCTCAGCGCTGACGGCAGCACCGCAGATCCTGTTTCCTTTCTGTCTCCATGAGCGTGGCACGTTATCATCAAGTGTTTCTTTATCGCCTTCATATTAAAAGTCCCGCTGCTGTCATGGTAACGTAACGTTACACCGCGTGTCATCTAACGTTCGGCCAGTTCATATTTCCAGTTTATTTAACCGCCACGTCTGAGCGAGAAAACGGCTGAAGCTAACAGTACAGACGGTCTGTGACTGTCTGTGAAATGTTTCAGTGTTTTCTTCATCAGACATCATTACACAATACTGAAATAAATCCATGTCAGAAACATTTAAAGTTTGCAGTAAAGAAGCCTAATTAATGTCTGTTATTAGGGGTCCAAGCCCGAGTGGGCTGGGAACCGCGACTGCAAAGCATCGCGGGTTCCCAGTACCAGCGGCGCGGCTGGGAACCCTATTGTAATCGTAATTGTAATCGTAATTGTAATAAAATCCGCACACTTCTACCTCTAGGGTGCGCTATAAGCAAGGTCAACGCGTTTGGGCTTGGAACTCCCGCCTACGAAGGTGTATATCAAAAACCTCATATCCACACGTACGGGGATCGAGCTGAATCTCCTGGCATAGGCCACGCCCATTTCCGTCTGGACTTTTTTCTGCTACATTGCAAAAACTGAAAAACATTGAAAATTGAAAAACCTATTTTAATTTAACTCCTCTGAAGCCACAGGTCCGATCACCACGAAACTTGGCACAGACGATCTCTGGACCAAGCCGCTAAAAGTTTGTAGAAGGAATTTTGATCAGCTAAAAAACGTCCTCATTATAAGCTAACTATAGCAAATTATAACCAAATGCAAAAACTGGATTTTATGTGATATCTTACGTTTGCAATGGCTGATATACACCAAACTCGGGGACCTTATCTGACACACACAGGTTGGAGTGACGCAGCTCCGAGCCGAGGTCGAGTCCGTCAGGGTCTCATTGACCAGTGAGGGTCAGATGGAGGTCTGTGTCTCTACTGGTCTGTAGTGGTGAGAAGGGAGCAGCTGTCAGTTTACCAGTGGATCTCTTCCAGGTCTCAGGTGTGCTCCTGGTCTCTGGGTAGTAACAGAGAGTTGAGGTTAAGAACAACTGCTCCTTCCTGTTGAGGAGGCAGCTGAGTTGGTTCAGCATCTGGTCAGGGTCTTCCTGGACTCCTCCCTGTGGAGGAGGAGATCCAAGGGCAGACCAGAACCAGCATATCTACCATAACGCTGACTGTTGACTTCTCTCAGGTGACCTTCCCCGTCAGGATCTTTAAGCTGATGGGGGTGGAGTCTATTCTGGTGACGAACGCCTCCGGAGGAATCTGTCCGGACTTCAAAGTCGGTGACATCATGATCATCAAAGACCACATCAACCTGCCGGGATTCGCTGGACAACATCCACTGTTTGGACCCAACGACGAGCGGTGAGACTGTCTGACTCTGTAGGTTTGGGATCGGGTTTCCTTGTCTGTCTCTCAGCCCGCCTGTCTGACGGCCTGTCTGTCTCTCTGTAGGTTTGGGATCAGGTTTCCCTGTATGTCCGATGCGTACAGTAAGGATCTGCGGCGGCTGGCGGTCGATGTGGGCTCTGAGCTGGGCTGCAGTGACTTCATCAGAGAGGGAGTTTACTGCATGGTGAGCGGACCGAACTTTGAAACCATCGCTGAGGCCAGAATGCTTCTGATCCTGGGCTGTGACTCTGTGGGTAAGACAACAAGAGAGGCAGACGGGCAGATGGACAGCCTGTCTTCATCGAGAAGGGGTCTTCCTGGTGAGCTCGTTGATAACTGACGAGTCTTACTGAGTCTCATTAGTCTCATTCTCTTAACCAGAGAACTGTGTCTCAGTTTGTGTCCTTCCATACTCACACCTTTGATGACCTGTTACAGCAGCAGGGGCTTCTGGGAGTTGTAGTGGGGAAACCTGATGGTTGTCTGGGTCCTTGAGAACATTTCAGGGTTCCTTGTTATCTGGTTGACTTTCCTTAAATATCAACAATCAATTACTCAAATCAGTTCAGAAAAATGCAAACTTAATAAGAGAACTTAATAAGGTGAATAAATGTATTCTCATTCAAATTCTCTTTTCACATTCTGTCCTCCTCCTCAGGTATGAGTACAGTTCCTGAAGTGACGGTGGCGAAGCACTGTGGACTCAGAGTTCTTGGTCTGTCCCTCATCACCAACATGGTCAGATTTTTAAATTATAACAGCAGTAGCAGACACCTATTACACCTTTGTGACACCTGTGTGACATCTGTTACATCTGTTACACCTTTGTGACACCTGTGTGACATCTGTTACATCTGTTACACCTGTGTGACATCTGTTACACCTGTGTGACACCTGTGTGACATCTGTTACACCTGTGTGGCACCTGTGTGACACCTGTGTGACACCTGTGTGACACCTGTGTGACATCTGTTACACCTGTGTGACACCTGTTACATCTGTTACACCTGTGTGACATCTGTTACACCTGTGTGACATCTGTTACATCTGTTACACCTGTGTGACATCTGTTACACCTGTGTGACATCTGTTACATCTGTTACACCTGTGTGACATCTGTTACATCTGTTACACCTGTGTGACATCTGTTACACCTGTGTGACACCTGTGTGCCACCTGTTACACCTGTGTGACATCTGTTACATCTGTTACACCTGTGTGACATCTGTTACACCTGTGTAGTACCTGTGAGACATCTGTTACACCTATGTGACATCTGTTACATCTGTTACACCTGTGTGACATCTGTGTGACATCTGTTACATCTGTTACACCTGTGTGACATCTGTTACACCTGTGTGACATCTGTTACACCTGTGTGACACCTGTGTGCCACCTGTTACACCTATGTGACATCTGTTACACCTGTGTAGTACCTGTGAGACATCTGTTACACCTATGTGACATCTGTTACACCTGTGTAGTACCTGTGAGACATCTGTTACACCTATGTGACATCTGTTACATCTGTTACACCTATGTGACATCTGTTACACCTGTGTAGTACCTGTGAGACATCTGTTACACCTATATGACATCTGTTACACCTGTGTGACATCTGTGTGACACCTGTTACACCTGTGTGACATCTGTTACACCTGTGTGACACCTGTTACACCTGTTACACCTGTGTGACATCTGTTACACCTGTGTGACACCTGTGTGACATCTGTTACACCTGTGTGACACCTGTGTGACACCTGTGTGACATCTGTTACACCTGTGTGACACCTGTGTGACACCTGTGTGACATCTGTTACACCTGTGTGACACCTGTGTGACATCTGTTACACCTGTGTGACATCTGTTACATCTGTTACACCTGTGTGACATCTGTTACATCTGTTACACCTGTGTGACATCTGTTACATCTGTTACACCTGTGTGACATCTGTTACACCTGTGTGACATCTGTTACATCTGTTACACCTGTGTGACATCTGTTACACCTGTGTGACATCTGTTACATCTATTACACCTATGTGACATCTGTTACACCTGTGTAGTACCTGTAAGACATCTGTTACACCTATGTGACATCTGTTACACCTGTGTAGTACCTGTGAGACATCTGTTACACCTATGTGACATCTGTTACATCTGTTACACCTATGTGACATCTGTTACATCTGTTACACCTATGTGACATCTGTTACACCTGTGTAGTACCTGTGAGACATCTGTTACACCTATGTGACATCTGTTACATCTGTTACACCTATGTGACATCTGTTACACCTGTGTAGTACCTGTGAGACATCTGTTACACCTATGTGACATCTGTTACATCTGTGTAGTACCTGTGAGACATCTGTTACACCTATGTGACATCTGTTACATCTGTTACACCTATGTGACATCTGTTACACCTGTGTAGTACCTGTGAGACATCTGTTACACCTATGTGACATCTGTTACACCTGTGTGACATCTGTGTGACACCTGTTACACCTGTGTGACATCTGTTACACCTGTGTAGTACCTGTGAGACATCTGTTACACCTATGTGACATCTGTTACACCTGTGTGACATCTGTGTGACACCTGTTACACCTGTGTGACATCTGTTACACCTATGTGACATCTGTTACACCTGTGTAGTACCTGTGAGACATCTGTTACACCTATGTGACATCTGTTACATCTGTTACACCTATGTGACATCTGTTACACCTGTGTGACATCTGTTACACCTGTATGACACCTGTTACACCTGTATGACATCTGTTACACCTGTGTGACATCTGTATGACACCTGTTACACCTGTGTGACACCTGTTACACCTGTTACACCTGTGTGACATCTGTTACACCTGTATGACACCTGTTACACCTGTATGACATCTGTTACATCTGTTACACCTGTGACATCTGTTACATCTGTGTGACACCTGTGTGCCATCTGTGTGACATCTGTTACACCTGTATGACACCTGTGTGCCATCTGTGTGACATCTGTTACACCTGTATGACACCTGTTACACCTGTATGACATCTGTTACATCTGTTACACCTGTGTGACATCTGTTACACCTGTATGACACCTGTTACACCTGTATGACATCTGTTACATCTGTGTGACACCTGTGTGACACCTGTGTGACACCTGTGTGACATCTGTGTGACACCTGTGTGACACCTGTGTGACACCTGTGTGACATCTGTGTGACACCTGTGTGACACCTGTGTGACATCTGTTACACCTGTGTGACATCTGTTACATCTGTTACACCTGTGTGACATCTGTTACACCTGTGTGACATCTGTTACATCTGTTACACCTGTGTGACATCTGTTACACCTGTGTGACATCTGTTACATCTGTTACACCTGTGTGACATCTGTTACATCTGTTACACCTGTGTGACATCTGTTACACCTGTGTGACACCTGTGTGCCACCTGTTACACCTGTGTGACACCTGTTACACCTGTTACACCTGTGTGACATCTGTTACACCTGTGTAGTACCTGTGAGGCATCTGTTACACCTATGTGACATCTGTTACATCTGTTACACCTGTGTGACATCTGTGTGACATCTGTTACATCTGTTACACCTGTGTGACATCTGTTACACCTGTGTGACACCTGTGTGCCACCTGTTACACCTATGTGACATCTGTTACACCTGTGTAGTACCTGTGAGACATCTGTTACACCTATGTGACATCTGTTACACCTGTGTGACATCTGTGTGACACCTGTTACACCTGTGTGACATCTGTTACATCTGTTACACCTATGTGACATCTGTTACACCTGTGTAGTACCTGTGAGACATCTGTTACACCTATGTGACATCTGTTACACCTGTGTGACATCTGTGTGACACCTGTTACACCTGTGTGACATCTGTTACATCTGTTACACCTATGTGACACCTGTGTGACACCTGTGTGACACCTGTGTGACATCTGTTACACCTGTGACACCTGTGTGACATCTGTTACACCTGTGTGACACCTGTGTGACACCTGTGTGACATCTGTTACACCTGTGTGACACCTGTGTGACACCTGTGTGACATCTGTTACACCTGTGTGACACCTGTGTGACATCTGTTACACCTGTGTGAAATCTGTTACATCTGTTACACCTGTGTGACATCTGTTACACCTGTGTGACATCTGTTACACCTGTGTGACATCTGTTACATCTGTTACACCTGTGTGACATCTGTTACACCTGTGTAGTACCTGTGAGACATCTGTTACACCTATGTGACATCTGTTACATCTGTTACACCTGTGTGACATCTGTGTGACATCTGTTACATCTGTTAGACCTGTGTGACATCTGTTACACCTATGTGACACCTGTGTGCCACCTGTTACACCTATGTGACATCTGTTACACCTGTGTAGTACCTGTGAGACATCTGTTACACCTATGTGACATCTGTTACACCTGTGTAGTACCTGTGAGACATCTGTTACACCTATGTGACATCTGTTACATCTGTTACACCTATGTGACATCTGTTACACCTGTGTAGTACCTGTGAGACATCTGTTACACCTATGTGACATCTGTTACACCTGTGTAGTACCTGTGAGACATCTGTTACACCTATGTGACATCTGTTACATCTGTTACACCTATGTGACATCTGTTACACCTGTGTAGTACCTGTGAGACATCTGTTACACCTATGTGACATCTGTTACATCTGTTACATCTGTGTGACATCTGTTACATCTGTTACACCTGTGTGACATCTGTTACATCTGTTACACCTGTGTGACATCTGTTACATCTGTTACACCTGTGTGACATCTGTTACACCTGTTTGACATCTGTTACACCTGTGTGACATCTGTTACACCTGTGTAGTACCTGTGAGACATCTGTTACACCTATGTGACATCTGTTACATCTGTTACACCTGTGTGACATCTGTGTGACATCTGTTACACCTGTGTGACACCTGTGTGCCACCTGTTACACCTATGTGACATCTGTTACACCTGTGTAGTACCTGTGAGACATCTGTTACACCTATGTGACATCTGTTACACCTGTGTAGTACCTGTGAGACATCTGTTACACCTATGTGACATCTGTTACATCTGTTACACCTATGTGACATCTGTTACACCTGTGTAGTACCTGTGAGACATCTGTTACACCTATGTGACATCTGTTACACCTGTGTAGTACCTGTGAGACATCTGTTACACCTATGTGACATCTGTTACATCTTTTACACCTATGTGACATCTGTTACACCTGTGTAGTACCTGTGAGACATCTGTTACACCTATGTGACATCTGTTACACCTGTGTGACATCTGTGTGACACCTGTTACACCTGTGTAACATCTGTTACACCTGTGTGACACCTGTTACACCTGTTACACCTGTGTGACATCTGTTACACCTGTGTGACATCTGTGTGACACCTGTTACACCTGTGTGACATCTGTTACATCTGTTACACCTGTGTGACATCTGTTACACCTGTATGACACCTGTTACACCTGTATGACATCTGTTACACCTGTGTGACATCTGTATGACACCTGTTACACCTGTGTGACACTTGTTACACCTGTATGACATCTGTTACATCTGTTACACCTGTGACATCTGTTACACCTGTATGACACCTGTTACACCTGTGTGCCATCTGTGTGACATCTGTTACACCTGTATGCCATCTGTGTGACATCTGTTACACCTGTATGACACCTGTTACACCTGTATGACATCTGTTACATCTGTTACACCTGTGTTACATCTGTTACACCTGTGTGACACCTGTGTTACACCTGTGTGACACCT